GAATGGCACTGGCCTTCCAAAAACACTACTGACCCTCACCTCTCATACCAAACCTCAATAATATTCAATTACAAAACAAAACTGCGGGTCCAGTAGTGCAACAGGTTATGTGTCAAATAGCATAACCACTCCCAATGCCATCCAAAGCCCCTGTCCGTCCGCATACCATAGATTACTACATATTAGCCCGTAATTTGATATAATAGCTGAAGGACTGGTGGTTTTAGCGGTGATTGACTGAATGCACAGGTATTTTAGCTGTTAGAGAGAGAGAGAGAGAGAGAAAGAGAGAGAGACGCAAGACCGGCGACACGCAGGCTATCGACTTACAAGCCATCAGACAAACAGTTATTCAATACGTTTGTTGAGTCAATCGTTTTTTCAGGTGTTTTGGGTGAGAGAGAGAGAGAGAGAGAGAGAGAGACGCAAGACCGGCGACACGCAGGCTATCGACTTACAAGCCATCAGACAAACAGTTATTCAATACGTTTGTTGAGTCAATCGTTTTTTCAGGTGTTTTGGGGGTAAATATTTTAATGTGAAATACGAGTTCATAATAAAAATCGCATTCAATTCTATTAACATGTTTTATAAGAATTACATGAATCGGCTATTTTATTGACATGTTTTGTACTTTGAGTTTACAATAGTTTAAGAAGTGTTTAAACTTTAAAGTGTATCTACTTTTTGTGGGGTTTTATAATATTTTTAAAAACTTTATAATTGCATTAATTTAAGACATTTAAAAATACTGTAAATTTAATTGAGTTTTATATTGAATTGACAATCGCATATATAAAACTTTGAATTTAATTTAACACAAGTTTAAATTCATATATTTGTTTAATATTAGTAAACTTTGTATTCAATTTAGAGTTGATAGACCTCTCACTTCGCTCTCAATCTTGCTTGAAAATCAATAGCACCGGGATATGCAAGGGTAGGACCTGGTGTATAAGTATAAAACTCCATGAGTTGATCAAAATAGCGGTGTTTGGACCGGAAAAGTATTCTTAAAGCATAAGATCATTGATGAGAGAGAGAAAGAGAGAGAAAGAGAGAGAGAAAGAGAGAGAGAGAGAGAGAGAGAGAGACGCAAGACCGGCGACACGCAGGCTATCGACTTACAAGCCATCAGACAAACAGTTATTCAATACGTTTGTTGAGTCAATCGTTTTTTCAGGTGTTTTTGGGGTAAATATTTTAATGTGAAATACGAGTTCATAATAATAAAAATCGCATTCAATTCTATTAACATGTTTTATAAGAATTACATGAATCGGCTATTTTATTGACATGTTTTGTACTTTGAGTTTACAATAGTGTTTAAATTTTAAAGTGTAACTACATTTTATGGGGTTTTTATAATATTTTTAAAAACTTTATAATTGCATTAATTTAAGACATTTAAAAAATACTGTAAATTTAATTGAGTTTTATATTGAATTGACAATCGCATATATAAAACTTTGAATTTAATTTAACTTAAGTATAAATTCATATATTTGTTTAATATTAGTAAACTTTGTATTCAATTTAGAGTTGATAGACCTCTCACTTCGCTCTCAATCTGCTTGAAAATCAATAGCACCGGGATATGCAAGGGTAGGACCTGGTGTATAAGTATAAAACTCCATGAGTTGATCAAAATAGCGGTGTTTGGACCGGAAAAGTATTCTTAAAGCATAAGATCATTGACCGCCAGTTCCTTAATATATTTGAATTTTAAAATAAAAATCATTTTTTAAAATTGTTAGTTAAGATCGAGTTCAATGTTTCAAACTATACTATAGTTCCCACAAACACCAGGTCCGCAGACTAGACAACCCACAGTGTGTAAGCCGTCTATATGTTGAACATCACTAATGGATAGAAATAGACGGCAATTACATAACAAATGAAGTGAAAGCGCAAAGAGTGAGACATTTAGCGCCTATACCTATGGAGTGAATGGTTGTGCGAATACGGGTGCGAATGACAGCTCGCATGATGTCTGGCGTACGGAAGGAACTGTCGCTACAATTAGAGAGAGACTGGAGAGGGACTGGAGTGCAGAGAAAACGATGTGTTAAGTGTGTTATGAATGGCACCAGAAATTGCATCTAAACTATACCCACAAAACACTCTCCCATAGAGTTATATGGATGGCACTGAAGACTAACTATCACTTCAGGCGCTATCCGTACGACACATCCGCCACAAAGTGTTGACACAAGCGTTCACTCTATCTATTCGTGTGTCAGTTAATAATGCGATACAAAAATCGCTGATAAAAATGTTACTCTTTTATGTGCAAACAGTATGCCATCATTCAATTGCCTCCCGTTCCTTCTCTCTCTCTCTCTCTCTCTCTCTCTCTCTGTCTCTCTCTCTCCCTCTCTCTCTCTCTCTTCCCAAAACACCTGAAAAAACGATTGACTCAACAAACGTATTGAATAACTGTTTGTCTGATGGCTTGTAAGTCGATAGCCTGCGTGTCGCCGGTCTTGCGTCTCTCTCTCTCTCTCTCTCTCTCTCTCATCCCTGTGCTCTGACTGGTAATCATCGCCAGTAGTGCTCATTACTCGACAAATACATAACAAACTACATAACAAATTGCACTTTCATTATGTTTAGTGAACACACATACACTCGACAGTAGTTTATACAATAGACTCATACACTCAACACTTTGATTGTAAAACATTTTGTGTCTTTCAATGGATTTTTGTGACACAAAAAGTTGTGACTCTTTTTTAACTGTTTGTTTCCTTTGCTTTTAGTCTTTCAGTGTTTTCTATTATATTTGATCGGATATTCTGGCTGTGAATGTATGCATACATTAGACAAATAAAGAAAGACACACATAAAAGGCATGCCGACCTCCAGTGCCCCCATTCACATGTGACCACTTTCCACCATAATTGCACATTAGGACCAACAAAATACTTATTGGTATTATAATTTAAAGTCTATTGTACCGACTGTTACTTCATTAATTAACCAAGTTAAAATAATCATTGTAATATTATTCTAATAGAATATTGTTATCGGATGCACTTTTCAATACTATTCTCACTATCAATACTATTTATTATACAAAAACTTCAGATTTAGAAATTTACCAATTATTGCAGTGATTTTTAGTAGTTACTTTTTAACTTTGAATAAAGTTAGAATAAATTGTGTCCAGTTATGTAAAATCAACTATATGATAATGATGGAATTAAATAAATATTCCAGAATTCTGTATAAATAAATAAGTTTAAAAAAAGTAATATACCTGTAATTACGCAACTTATTGAATATCTAATATAAAAGTATGTTACAAATGAGTTACGAAATGTTGGCTGGTTGCATTTCATATGTATTATGATTTATCTACTATACATTGTATTTCAATATTACATAATAAATATAAATAAATATACAGTACAAAGACATTTTAGTTTTTTGTATTTTACAAATAAATGGTCCTAGCAATTTGTGTTTACCAGTCATTAAATAAATGGATAAAAGTTTTTTGAATTAATAAATATTTTTACTCAAACTCTAATTCGTGGCTAAAAATAATGTCTCAAAACTACAGTAAAGACTCGTTTGACAGATTCGGTGATGACTTGTGTTCAGTGCTATTGTCTTACCTCCCGGTGTCTGACAAATTGCGGTTTGAATGCCTGTCCACACAATGGCAACGACTGCTGTATAGTCGACAAACACATCTGGAAATTGATTTGAAAACATTATATAATATAAAAGAGTTTAAAAAAGCATTGAATTTACAGGGATTTGAGGCGTTGTTGAAAAAGTGTGAATACATTACTGCCATTGAGTTCATCCATACCGACGGCTATACTAAACTCATTCAATCAACACTTGAATTAATTATGAAATATTGCCATCATTTGAATCAAATTACTGTCAATATCTTTAACCAAATAGATAGCAAGACAATTGACATGTTTTTCGCAAAGTATTCTAAACAATTGAAATATCTCTCATTTCACATGGTATATCACCATGATGCTTCCAATAAGTCTACTGATAACTACCTAAAACTTTGCAAACAAATTCATTCCCTGGATATTCAACTACTAACTGAAAATCGATTCATCAGCGTATTCGGTGATAGTATTCATAAAAGTGAGCTATTATTCAAGAATTTAACTCAAATATCACTAAAGGTTTATTTGGATGATCAGAGATGTTTCAAACAATTCACAGATTGTTATAAAAATCAGTTAAAATCCATTGATATATCAATTAATAGCGGTTTCGATGAGAAGGCAATGGATATACTGATGACTAGTTTGTCACAAATGCGGTCATTAATTGACTTAAAGATCGCGCATAAAGAGTATGAATACAATACAATCAAAGTTTTAATTAATAAATTGCATCAAATTGGTGACATATGTGGTCAACTTAAGAGGTTATCATTGAACCTACACCAGTACGACACGACTGAGGAGTTGATGAAAGTGTTTCAAACAATTAACAAAAGTTTTCGACACTTAAAACACCTGAGTATCGAGGGCTGGTTTGGCAATGATTTTGCACTTAAAAGCGATTCATTAAACCGATGCAATCGATTGACTCATTTATGGCTTAGATTTCATATAAACGACACTTTCTTTGTGTCCATTCATCGCAATTTACCACAACTTCAATACCTGTACATTAAAGACGCAAATATTTCTCAGACATCGTGGACTTCATTGGAAAAACTCAAGAAAATACAAACAATTGTATTCAATGGATATTATTTAGATGATAAATGCAAGAAAATAAATTTTTACGAATTGACTAAAAAGTGTCTAAAGTTAGAGAAATTGTTTGTGAATGAGAATAGATTTATTTAAACCTACAGTATTTGTCAAATCATTTTCCACTATTTCTGAAAGTAATAAAATTGAACTATAATTTGATTATGAAACTCAACCACAGATTCATATTTATTTTGCTATAAATTAATAAATAATACATTTTTTAGTATTTCAATGATTTTACAGTCGAGTTGCCTATTCATCGGACTCGGAGTCCGAGTCATCGCCAAACCTTTCCGTCTCATCACTGATACCAAAATCTCTGGCCTTTTGTGCGGCAAATGCAGCGATTTGTGACTCAAAGCCAAACGATTGGCCCAAACCTGACATTGAATTCATATCACATTTAGTTTCCAAGAATTGAGGCCTCTTTTGAGCCAAACTTTCATTCATGGATTGCTTTGAATCAGTAAATGGTATTCGTTTGGAAAGTGATTCACTGGAGTGTTCATCACTGACTGAGTTCACACTTTGATCACTGTCTTGGAGGTCATCCTTCACGACATTCACCGGTATTTCGATTCCCAGAGCTTTTGCTTCCCGTCTCTCGTGTTCCGCGGCTTTCGATATGAGGGCGACTTTGAGTTCACGGAACAGATTATGTGATGCAATGGACTCTTGAGATAACTTCAGCTGTAATTGAGGTCAACATTTGAATTATTTTTAGACACAGTTATTGACATACAGTTCCAAACACTTACTCTGTATTCCCGGAGCTCTTCGTCCTCTTCTTCACTCGAATTGTGGTCACTTTCATCACAGTCTTCAGTGACGATCGCTTCGAAAACCTGATCCCTAACCACATAATCTTCGGCAGCAACTGATGATAAAGTAGGTAATTGTTTGACTGAATCTTCACTTCCATTCACTTCTATATTATTAAACAATTTATTCTTTGAATCCTTGAGCTCTGAATTCATAGCAAATAATAAAAATGAATACAATTTCAGAATATATGCAAACTTATGCAGAATATGCAGAATATATGCAGAATTTCACTGAACCTTCAATTCTGAGCCACTTCTCCAAATGGATGATCAGATCATTCAAACCTTTGAATTCACTGTCAATTGAGTCGAGTTTTTGTCTCATTTGGTGTCGAAAATCTGTTGCCCTTTCAATGTCATCCTCTTCTACGAGTGAATCCAATTCATCAACACTTTCGAGACATAAAAAAGAGTTAAAATTTATTATTTAAATCATAAAAACTGTTTAAATTGTAATCACATATTGAGTGCAATCATCAGATGTTTGCGAATATTTCTATTAGTATTCAATAGACTCGACGTTTCAATCGATTGAGTGGTTTGTTGTCTTAAGTCACGACTTTTGACGAGAGATCTCTCCGAAGATAACCACAAAGACTTCGCGCACTTATAAATAGACATCAGTTCACCGCATGTTTGGTCCGATTCGTGGATCAGTTCATCAAATAATTTCATAATCTCTTTGTAAACACATTTAATGTAATCATCCATTGATTGTCTATTAATTATCTGATTATTATTATCAACACAAATGGTAATAAAAAGGCACAAAACTCTCCTCAAGAGCTCCGACTGTTGTAAACGTTTTAATTGTTTTAATGACTGAAAAGGGTTTAAAAATGATTTTTAATTAAAAATGCTTTTTATGATAAAAATGGTTTACTTTAAGTGCCGAAAGAGTGATATCAGACACGTCTTCAGCGGTAAACCTCTCGAACGACTCAATCGGAAGACAACACAGAAAATTCAAGTCTTCGTCGATGTCTGCGTTTAACACAAACCGTTGTCTCAAACTAATGGTGGCGTCTCTGAAACGAGTGAAACACTTGCAACACATCCGCCGATACGTGTCTTTCATGTCAGATATTCTTCGCGATTGATTAGTAGTCACTTCGAGACACTCGTTGTCCTCCAAGAGCCGGAAGTATTGATTCATTAATTGGTTTTCGTTTCGCAGTCTTTCGCACAAAACCATTGATTTATAAATTAAACGCTTTTTTATACAACTATTCAATGAATTAATAATAACTTAATTAATACCAAAAAATATCAAAACAATAATTGAATGAAAACTAAACAAACATTTTATATATGAAATGATATGAAAGTGAAGACAATTTCCAAGAAATACCGCAAACGAGTGACACAATCAGTGGGAACCGATAGGTCTCCAGAAGTGTGCTCTCAAACCATAGCAAAGCACCGGTGAGTGAGAGGATTGAAACTACCGGTAATTGTCTGAAAATATATGCATTAATAGTCGATTCAAACCACAAGTAATTAATCTCGCATTTACTTGCAATTAGTGCTGAAGTCAATGAAAGACTTGGAGGAATGGATCAACTGTTGGTTTGCATCCATTTGTGTCTCAATCAATGCGTCCAAAAGAGTCATGTCTTCACTGATCAATAGACCACTTCTGGCGAACACATCCACGAGTCGAGCGGACACTGATGTCAACCATCGGGTGCTGTCCATCGATGACAACATATCTGTGATGACATTCATTGCGTGAATGAATGAAGAGTTTAATCACTGATTGTCTTCAGACATGATTTTGCGGACAAAAAGTGTTTTGAAAAGTAAACAAAAGTTTTGTTTTTGTTTTGCTTTCAATGCAATCAATACATTACGACTCGTATTGGGAAAGCGTTTCAGTGATTACCACGTGATTCACACGTGTATTGTTGACTGCTTTTGCATTGACTCTAAATAGCGGTAAGTGTGACACAAATCAGTCATTCATACCGTTTAACGGCACGTGTTTTGCATTCATTTCATTCACTAGTGTTTTGCTGTCAATTGATGACACATTTGAATGCATAATAATCATTGATAATAACCGCAGAGGAATGGCATCAACGAGTGGACCCATTGTATCGCACGTCTTCGGCAAAGATTCCTTCGACAGATTTGGCGACGATTTGTGTGAAGTCTTATTGTCTTATCTGTCTCTCGACGACCGGTTCCGCTTTGAATGTGTGTCCAAACAGTGGCAGACATTGATATACACGACACAAACATGCCTCAGAAGTGGTCCCAAAGTAAATAATAAGTCATTTGAATGGATACTCAAGAAGTGTCTCAAGAAGTGTCAAAACATCACAACAATTGGACCCTTCGTTAGATCCATTGATAACTCAAAGATTGAATTAATTATAAAACATTGCAATCATTTGACTGCAATTGACATGGATTTCGATGCCATTACTGTTCACACAATCGCTAAGTTTATGGCAAAGTATAAGACAAGTTTGAAATCAATTGAATCGGGTTTGCGTCCCAAAGACCCCGTAATCCGCAAGTGTTTCGACGATTACTTTAAGTTGTGTCCAAATCTCACGAAATACCAGATTTTCGACAACTCTCTGTCCGCTGTATTGAATGATCGCAAAAATGATGTATTATTTCAAAGATTAAACGCCTTTTCATTTGAATACACCGATGAAGACGCGAATAGATTTGAATCATTCGTCAAAAGCTATGGAAAGACTATGAAATCAATTGAAGTGATGGTCGATAATAATTGCGAAGAGGAGTCCTTTGACGTACTGATGACTGGTTTGTCACAAATGCCACAATTGATTGATTTGGACATAACAGCAGAGTTTATAACTGGGGATCAAATGAGACAAATTGGTGTTAATTGTGGTCAACTCAAGAGACTATCACTTTCTTCAGACTTTCAATTCGATGGACTGATGCCTGAAATGATACAAACAGTTAACGAATACTTCCATAAATCGCTGAAACGCCTGTCAATTGAGACACCATTTCCCGAAGAGTTTCAATTGGCGAGTGAATCGTTTAATCTCTGCAAACGTCTCACACATATCAATGTTATGGCCAACGGTTCCACTTTTGCCGAAGACTTTACACTCGATATCGACCAACACTTACCAAACATTGAAAGCTTGGAAATATGGGGACAGGAGGACATGGAGTGTATGGCACAGGCTATAGATGTAACGGATGATGTGCTCAACTCATTGGCAAAACTCCGCAAAATACGAGTCATTCGTTTCATAGATTGCATCAAAAGGTTCACTCCGGAGACCATTCGCAATGTCATCACTAATTGTCCCAAAATTGCCAAAATGTACGTAAATGAAGTGAATTATGTGTAATTAGTTATTACCGATAATTTGTATACTTATGCCAGAAATACTGCACACATTTTCTATCTCTAATGATACATTATATTTATTATATTGATGTGAATACAATAAATTGTTTTATACTAAACTACATACCGGTAATCATTCAAATAAATGCTACGAACATAACAATTGCATAAATAGTGCCTCATTTCCACCAAAAACTTATGGAAAAACTAGTGGACAGGGATTTGACAAAATGCCAGCACTTTGTGGGCATAAACAGGAGTTCCCCCTCTCGGAGGACGCACTCGTAGTAGTCGTCCAGTCCTTCAAACGCCGGAAACCTCTCGGAGTCCACACATTCCAAGTCAACGGCACTCGTGTTACACAACAGCCGGCAATCGTTGGGATATATGGCCTCTCGGGGCGTATCACTCGAGTAGATCCGCACATACTTGTGGCCAAACACCTGCGCCAACAGATTGTCTTTGGGATCGAAGTGTAGCGGAGATACCGTTCCTTTGGGTCCGAACCACGCGTTGATATCCACGTCCACCTCCTCGTCCTCCCTGTCCTCATCAGCTCTCACACAGCAATAGTCGGGAACCGATATGTCGGCCATTAGTTCCACAATTTGGTCAAACAGGTTGTGTTGAGCCAAATAGCCAGTCCTTTTAGCACCGGTAGTATCGCACCGGGAGTTTGGCGCCAAATACTGTCCAATAAACTCGTTGACAGTAATCAGTCGTTGACTCCATTCCTCGTCAGTATATTTGCTGCCAATCTCTATGGGAACCGTTCTATGCCGACCTCCAGTGCCCCCATTCACATGTGACCACTTTCCACCATAATTGCACATTAGGACCAACAAAATACTTATTGGTATTATAATTTAAAGTCTATTGTACCGACTGTTACTTCATTAATTAGCCAAGTTAAAATAATCATTGTAATATTATTCTAATAGAATATTGTTATCGGATGCACTTTTCAATACTATTCTCACTATCAATACTATTTATTATACAAAAACTTTAGATTTAGAAATTTACCAATTATTGCAGTGATTTTAATAAGTTACTTTTTAGCTGAATAAAATGGATTAAAGTTAGAGTAAATTGTGTCCAGTTATGTAAAATCAACTATATGATAATGCTGGAATAAAATAAATATTCCAGAATTCTGTATAAATAAATAAGTTTAAAAAAGTAATATACCTGTAATTATGCAACTTATTGAATATCTATTATAAAAGTATGTTACAAATGAGTTACGAAATGTTTGAAACCTGGTTGCTATAGCATTTAATATGTATTATGATTTATCTACATTGTATTTCAATATTACATAATAAATATAAATAAATATACAGTACAAAGACATTTTAGTTTTTTGTATTTTACAAATAAATGGTCCTAGCAATTTTTTTACCAGTCATTAAATAAATGGATAAAAGGTTTTTTGAATTAATAAATATTTTTACTCAAACACTAATTCGTGGTTAAAAATAATGTCTCAAAACTACAGTAAAGACTCGTTTGACAGATTCGGTGATGACTTGTGTTCAGTGCTATTGTCTTACCTCCCGGTGTCTGACAAATTGCGGTTTGAATGCCTGTCCACACAATGGCAACGACTGCTGTATAGTCGACAAACACATCTGGAAATTGATTTGAAAACATTATATAATATAAAAGAGTTTCAAAAAGCATTGAATTTACAGGGATTTGAGGCGCTGTTGAAAAAGTGTGAATACATTACTGCCATTGAGTTGATCCATACCGACGGCTATACTAAACTCATTGAATCGACACTTGAATTAATTATTAAATATTGCCATCATTTGAATGAGATTACTGTCAATATCTTTAACCAAATAGATATCAAGACAATTGACATGTTTTTCACAAAGTATTGTAAAGAATTGAAATATCTCTCATTTCACATGGTATATCGCCATGATGCTTCCAATAAGTCTACTGATAACTACCTAAAACTTTGTAATCAAATTCATTCCCTGGATATTCAACCACTAACTGAAAATCGATTCATCAACGTATTCGGTGATAATATTCATAAAAGTGAGCTATTATTCAAGAATTTAACTCAAATATCACTAAAGGTTTATTTGGATGATCAGGAATGTTTCAAACAATTCACAGATTGTTATAAAAATCAGTTGAAATCCATTGATATATCAATTAATAGCGGTTTCGATGAGAAGGCAATGGATATACTGATGACAAGTTTGTCACAAATGCGGTCATTAATTGACTTAAAGATCGCACATAAAGAGTATGAATACAATACAATGAAAGTGTTAATTAATAAATTGCATCAAATTGGTGACATATGTGGTCAACTTAAGAGGTTATCATTGAACTTACACCAGTACGACACGACTGAGGAGTTGATGAAAGTGTTTCAAACAATTAACAAAAGTTTTCGACACTTAAAACACCTGAGTATCGAGGGCTGGTTTGGCAATGATTTTGCACTTAAAAGCCATTCATTAAACCGATGCAATCGATTGACTCATTTATGGCTTAGATTTCATATAAACGACACTTTCTTCGTGTCCATTCATCGCAATTTACCACAACTTCAATACCTGTACATTAAAGACGCGAATATTTCTAAGACATCGTGGACTTCATTGGAAAAACTCAAGAAAATACAAACAATTGTATTCAATGGATATTATTTAGATGATAAATGCAAGAAAATAAGTTTTCACGAATTGACTAAAAAGTGTGTAAAGTTAGAGAAATTGTTTGTGAATGAGAATAGATTGATTTAAACCCACAGTATTTGTCAAATCATTTTCCACTATTTCTGAAAGAAATAAAATGAACTATAATTTGATTATGAAACTCAACCACAGATTCATATTTATTTTGTTATAAAATAATACATTTAGTATTTCAATGATTTTACAGTCGAGTTGTCTATTCATCGGACTCGGAGTCCGAGTCGTCGCCAAACCTTTCCGTCTCATCACTGATACCAAAATCTCTGGCCTTTTGTGCGGCAAATGCAGCGATTTGTGACTCAAAGCCAAACGATTGGCCCAAACCTGACATTGAATTCATATCACATTTAGTTTCCACGAATTGAGGCCTCTTTTGAGGCAAACTTTCATTCATGGATTGCTTTGAATCAGTAAATGGTATTCGTTTGGAAAGTGATTCACTGGAGTGTTGATCACTGATTGAGTGCCCACTTTGATCACTGACTGAATCCCCACTTTGATCACTGTCTTGGAGGTCATCCTTCACGACATTCACCGGTATTTCGATTCCCAGAGCTTTTGCTTCCCGTCTCTCGTGTTCCGCGGCTTTCGATTTGAGGGCGACTTTGAGTTCACGGAACAGATTATGTGATGCAATGGACTCTTGAGATAACTTCAACTGTAATTGAGGTGAACATTTGAATTATTTGTAGACACAGTTATTGACACATAGTTCCAAACACTTACTCTGTATTCCCGGAGCTCTTCGTCCTCTTCTTCACTCGAATTGTCGTCACTTTCATCACAGTCTTCAGTGACAATCGCTTCGAAAACCTGATCCTTAACCACATAATCTTCGGCAGCAACTGATGATAAAGTAGGTAATTGTTTGACTGAATCTTCACTTCCATTCACTTCTATATTATTAAACAATTTATTCTTTGAATCCTTGAGCTCTGAATTCATAGCAAATAATAAAAATGAATACAATTTCAGAATATATTCAAACAATTGACTGAACCTTCAATTCTGAGCCACTTCTCCAAATGGATGATCAGATCATTCAAACCTTTGAATTCACTGTCAATTGAGTCGAGTTTTTGTCTCATTTGGTGTCGAAAATCTGTTGCCCTTTCAATGT